TAGATAAAATGGATAAATTCCTAGACATGTACAATCTCCCAAGACTGAGCAAGAAAGAAATAGAAAATATGAGCACACAATTTACCAGTAATGAAATTGAATCAATCATTTAAAACTCCCAACATAAAAAAAGAGCTTAAGACCAGACAGCTTCACTGGTGAATTCTGCCAAACATTTGGGCAAGAGTTAACATTTATCTTTTTCAAACTATTTTTTAAAAATTGCAGAGGAAGACATGCTTCTAAACTCATTCTATGAGGCCAGTATCACTGTAATATAAAAACCTAATAAAAGAAAGTTACAGGCCAACATTGCTGGTAAACATAGATGAAAAAATCCTCAACAAAATATTAGCAAGTCAAAATCAACAATGCCTTAAAATGATCATACACCATGATCAACTGGGATGTACTCTAAGGATGCAAGTATGGTACAATATCTACCAATCAATCATTGTGACACACTATACTAACAAATTGAAAAATAAAATTTATATGATCTCAATAGATGCAGAAAAAGCGTTTGACAAAATTCAACATCATTTCATAATAAAAACTCTCAACAAAGTGGATAAAGAGGGACCACACCTCAACATAATAAAGGACATATATGATAAGGCCACAGCTAACAGCATGTTCAATAGTGAAAAGTTTAAATCATTTCCTCTAAGATCAGGAATAAAATAAGGATGCCCACTTTCACCACTCTTATTCAACAAAGTTTCAGAAGCCCTGGCCACAGCAGCAAACAAGCAAAAGAAATGAAAGGAACACAAACTGAATGGGAAGAAGTAAAACTTTCACTGTTTGCAAATGACATGATATGTATAGGAAAATCCTAAAGATGCCACCAAATAATAAAAACAAAATTAATATATAGAAATCTGTTGCATTTCTATACATTCTTAATGAACTATGAGTATGAGAAATTAGGAAAGTAATCCTATTTACAATCACACCAAAAAGAATAAAATGCTTAGTAATAAATCTAGTCAAGGAGGTAAAAGATCTGTACTCAGAAGACATTGATGAAAGAAACTGAAGATGACCCAAAAGATGGAAAGATAAACCATGGTCATGGGTTTCAAGGACTGATATTGTTAAAATAATATTACTACCCACAGGAATTTACAGAGTCCATGAAATCCCTATCAAAATACAAATGGCATTTTTCACAGAAGTATAACAAATAATTCTAAAATTTGTATGGAAACACAAAAGACCCTGAATTGCCAAAACAATCTTAAGAAAAACAAAACAAAGCTGGAGTTAGCATGCTCTCTGACTTCAAACTGTTCCTCAAAGCTATAGTAATCAAAACAATATAGTACTGGCACCAAAATAGAAACAGACACACAGATCAATGAAATAGACTAGAGAGCCCAGAAATGAACTCACATTTATATGGATTATTAATATATGACAAGGAGGGCAAGAATATATATACAGCAATGAAAAGATAGCTCATAAAGCTATCTTTATGATGTTGGAAATACTGGAAACCAACATGCAAAAGAAATAAATTGGACTACTCTTTCATACTATGCATAACAATAAATTCAGATGAATGAAAGACCTAACTATAAGATTTAAAACCATAAAACTTCTAGGAGAAAATATAGTACACTCTTAAAAAGAATTCATACAACTCAACATGAAACACACACAAGCACACACACACACAAAGCAGATTTAAAAATCAACAGAGAATCTGAATAGACATTTTTCCAAAGAAGACATACAATGGCCAAAAGGCACATGAAAGATACTCAGCATCACTGATCATCAGAGAAATGAATATCAATACTACAAGATGTCACCTCACACCTGTCAGAATGACTATCAAAAATATAACACATAACAAGTGTTGGTGAGAATGTGGACAAGAGGGAACCATTGAGACCTGCTGGTAGGAGTTAAATTGGTACAACTACTATGGAAAACAATATGGAAATTCCTCAAATAATTAAAAATAGAACTATCATACAACTGGCAATTCCACCCCTGGCTATTTGTCCAACAACAATGAGAACACAAATTAGAACAGATGCACCCACCCCTGTGTTCACTGCAGTATTAGTTATAATAGACAATATATGGAAGTAACCTAAGTGCCCATTAATACAGGAATGGATAAAGAAAATGTGGTACATATATATGCAATAAAATATTACTCAGTCATAAAAAAGGATGAAGTCTTGCCATCTGTGACAACACTGATGGACCCAGGGCATATCATGTTAAGTGAAATAAGTCAGGAAAAGTCAAAAACTGTATGATTCCACTTATATGTGAACTCTAAAAAGCAAAACAAATGAATAAGCATATCAAATAAGAAACAGAGGAATATATACAGAGAAGAAACAAATGACTTCCAAGGGGAGGAGGAGGGAGGATATAGAGGAGGGAGATTAATGGTACAAAGTTCCAGTAGCAAAATAAATGAGTCACAGTTATAAAATATACAGTGTGGAAAAGGTAGTTAATTATGTAACATCTTTTCATGGTGACAGATGTTAACTAGAATTATTAGAGTGATCACTTTGAAATATATAGAAATATCAAATCAGTGTATTGTGTAACAGGAACTAACATAGTGTGTTGGCCAATCATACTTCAAAAACAAACAAGCAAAATCATAGAAAAAAAATCAGATTTGTGATTACCAGAGGTGGGGATTGGGGGAGGGAAAATTGGAAGAAGGTGGTCAAAAGTTACAAACTTCATATTATAAGATAAATAAGTAATAGGGATTTAATGTACAACATGATAAATATAATTGACACTGCTGTATGTAACATATGAAAGTTGTTAAGGGAATAAATGCTAAGCATTTTCATCACAAGGACAACTTTTTTTCCTCTATTTTTTGAATTGTTTATCTACTGAGATGATGGGTGTTCACTAAACCTATTGTGATAATCATTTCATGACATGTGTATCTCATATACGGTGCTGTGTGTCAATTATATTTCAAAAAAACTGGAAGAAAAAAATAATTTCCACATTCACTGGCAATACATGAGAGTCCTATTTGCTCTACCTCTTTGCCAACATTTGATATCAAATAATTGTTTTAAAGAAAAATAATTCTCCAAATGTAATCAATCAATTAATCAGTAACATACAAGAGTACATTTGAAATCCTGACAAGAATTACATAAACTCACTACTACGGCAGTGGAGTTATATATTTTTTTTCCTTAGTTCTGTCCTCTGAAATCATCTCTACTCTCCATCACACTTCATAACTATAACTGAGTTAGACCTTTTATAGGGGATACACAATTTTCAAAGTCTGTTTCTGCTACTGAAAACTCATTGATCTAGGAAATGTTTTAAGTGCTGAAGGTCACAAGATGTGTCTAGCTAGCCTTTTTTTTTATTTGTTTGTTGGCTTGCTTGTCATTTGTTTGTTTTGCCATTAAAGTTCCTCTTAACATTTCTTAACCAGTCAATGAGTTTTCAGACATAGCTTTTAAGCCTAAGGGTTTATTTTTTATTGGTTTCTGTTTCTGTTTGGTTATATTGCCTATTATTTTATGCAGTCTTCTCTTCCTTTAGCCTTTGTTTAGCGTAATGGGAACTGCTTTGAAGTATTTCAAAACAATAGCCTTTTGGCAAAAGACAATGTTTTTAATCTACATCTGTTTGGCAAAGATCTTTTAATGTTAAATACTTAAAATCCTAAGGCCAAGATTTTATCTTTTGCTGAGACATATATTACCTTCAGTTTGGTTTACAAAATTTGGATTTTTCAACTCTATAGAGGTCCAAATTTGGAGACTCTCAGTCAATTTAGATGGCAGGTTATAAGCAGAGATGAGTATTTTGGTAAACACTATTTTCTTTAATTCCTGATTTCAGATTGATCACTTCTGGTCAGAGGTAATATACCTCTTGTAAGACTTGTTGAAAATGGTGACAAATCTACACATTCCAAAATATTTTGATTTATTTTTCCTATCATACATTCTAGTACTACAGCCTCCTACAGCCTATATTTTGAGACCCAAAGTATATCAGTAACAGTTTGACAAGATGCTTTGCCATCACATTAAAAAAAAAGTCAATTTCCTGTTGGAGATAGCTGTCTATTTACTAGCATTGTTTTATCTTCTACATTCAGAAAACTCAACATTATACATTTAATCATTTGTACTCATTTTGTTAGAGCAGGCACATAGCTAGATATGAGCAGAGAAAGGGGGATGAAGGCCAGATGGCAGCAATTGGGGGGAAAAAAAAGAAGAGCTTGGGCCAAATGGCAGGAAATCATACATTATGTGAAAGACAGGTGTTACTAGGCAAACAGAGAAAATCAGGAACATGGGACTGATAAGAGATCACATATTTTGGGGTGACAAGTGTCTTGGAGGCAGGTAAAGAAAGGTGGGAAAAGAGAGGAATCTATAGTATCTAAATGTAACATTTTGTTCATTATGTTCTCATTATAATAAAATTAACCTTTCAGATTAGAAGCACCCATCATACATCAAAGCCATGACACTTTTGATCCAGACTAAATAAGGACAAAAATTCCTCTTCCCCTTGGGAAAGTAGAGCTGGGATGAAAATCAGGGAATATAACCCCAAACCCTTCCCTTACCAATGAATATTTTGCCCATTCATTTTTACATCCCATGTAACAAACTTGCCAAAGAAACTCAGCACAGCTGCTCACCCGAACTTTCCTGCTCTACCCTTGAGAGTATATTATCTCTTGCATAATAAATCATTGCTTCACTTTCTTGACCTCCATGTCTCATGATCAGATTCTTTCTGCAATGAGACAAAAACCTAATAATCAACAAAAATTTCAGGAAACCAAATTTTATTTTTACATTATTGCCTATAAATTTTGAAAGAGGATAATAAAAATATTCACAGAATAGGATCATTGTGAGGATTAAATGAAATCATCCATATATAGCCTTAAGACAGACCCTGGAAACCAGATAGGTAAATAACCAGCCATTTGTAATTTATTTATATATTTTGAAATATAGAATTTCCAAATTATTTAAAGTATGTAAAAAAAATGAGGGAGGGGCCAAGATGACAGGGTAGAGAGACTCATAGCTCACACTCTCCCACAAACACACCAAGAATTACATCTACAAACCCATTGAATCACACAGATCACCTACTGAACTCTGTCAGAGTGTCTCTCATTTCAAAATATAGGAAGATTCTCACCAAATCTGGTAAGAAAGAAAAATGAAAAAAATGTTGGTGCAGGATCATTCCTGTAGGGAGAGAGTGGCATAGGAAGAAAAGAATCCTCATACTGGGATGATCCTTCTCCAGCCAGGAGATCAGTGGGGACAGAAGTAGAGCTTCCAAGGCTCCAAGGAGAAAGTGGAAAGAGCTTGACAGTCAGAACTAAGGGAAACTGACATGGAGGTTTCCAGCGATCCCTGGCCCTAGATGTGAGCCAGCAAGGATGAGCCAGGACTTGCTGCTGAGATTGGTGAGGAGCCCAGGCAGAGGGCAGGACCCCACTGCACAGAGGCAGCCTCGGGAGACTGGAGGGTGGCTTGAGCTCTGGCTGGGGGTTGTGCGTGGAGCAGGACAGCCTGGCACCCCCATAAAAATGCACCACTTTTGGTGTTAGGTGGGGAGGGGCACAACATAGAGGCTGGGCTTGGTCATAGCCATCACTGCTGTGTGGAGGTGTGGCTGAAAGTTGAACTCATACCAGATATCCCTGTAACTTCACTGGCAGGACTGAGATTTGTTTACAGTCCCAGGGAGACAGGATTGACTTACTCTTTATGGACCCATGGCAGACCCAGGCCTCTGGGACCAACAGGCAGTGAGCAGAGTTCTGACTCACAGAAGGGGCAAGTATGAATATTTACAATAGGCCAGGATCCTATGTGGAGGTGAGGCTGGGGTCTATGGTAACCCCATGGTGCACCAGATTCAGGTGTGTCTGCACACTTGCTATGGGGGGGTCCTAGTGACTGACATTGGCATATCTGAACTGGTGGTTTCTGGGACTCAGAAACCACGGGGCACCAAAGCATGTGGTCAACATTCCTGCAGCTAAGGCAGAGACAAAGATAGCATCAACAAAGAGTACTTTGCAAGCCTACATAACAAGTGACAGACAACACCACAGAGGGCACATCCAAGTGGACATCTCCTACCTACCCTTATTCCCAACTGAAGTACCCCAACACTGCCTACTACACACATAGCTCAGAAATAGGTCTAAAACCCCTGTTCCAGCAGAAGAGTAGACAAGGCCCTTGTCAAGGTTGTGACAACTACAAAACAAAAAGGAAGCCCAGCTCAACAACAATCAGGGCAGGCTCTGAATACCACAACACCAAACACACCCCCAGTCAAAGGGATAACAGCCAAAACACATGGAAGGAAGATGTGGCAACCATCCATGCTAGGAAAAGCCACTGTAACAAAATTATTAGATGCACACAGTCTACATAGGAATACTCCCACTTGAAATAAAAACAAACAAAAAATAAAATAGCCATTCAAGACCACAGTGGGTAACTGATACTCCTAAATCCATAAAGCCAGAGAAATATACGATGAAGAAGCAGAGGAACTATTCCCAATTAAAAGTGCAAGAGAAATCCCCTGAAAGAACAATCAATGAAATAAACGTTGATAATCTACTACTTCATAACTTCAAAAAGGGAATGATCAATGCACTGAAGGAAGTAAAAGAGATTATCAATAGCAATGGAGATTAATTTAAAAGGAAATTGAAACTATAAAGAAGGGCCAATTAAAAACAGAAAACTCAATTGTTGAGATAAGAGCTGAGGTAAAGGCAGTCAAAAGCAGACTAGATAATGCAGAGGAAGGAATTAGTGACTCAGAAGATAGGATAATAGAAATCACCTAATCAGAATAGCAGACAGAAAAGCAAATAAAAACCAGTGAAAGCAATATAAGGGACATATTGGACAATATGAAGTATGCCAACCTGTGCATAATAGGGGTCCCAAAAGGAGAAGAAAAGAAAAGGGAACTGAAAAGTTATTTGAAGAAATCATGATGAAAACTTTCAAAACCTAAACAAGGAAACATATCCAAGTACAGGAGGCACAGAGACTCCCAAATAAGAAGAACCCAAACAGACCTACATCAAGACATATGACAATTAAGATGGCCAAAATTAAAGGTAAAGAAATTATTCTTAAGCCAGCAAGAGAAAAACAAAGAATTAGTTACAATGGAACCCCTATAAGGTTTCAGCTGGTTTCTCTACACAAACAATGCTGGCCAGAAGGGCATGACAAGATATATTCAAAGCCCGGAAGGAGAAAAAGCTGCAACCTAGAATATTCTATCTCGCAAGACTATCCTTTAGAGTAGAGGGAGCAATAAAGAATTTCACAGGCAAGCAAAAGCTCAAAAATTCAGCAATACTAAACCTATACTAAAACAAATATTAGAAGTTCTACTCTAAATAGAAAAGAAAGAGTGAAGCTATAGTAATGAGAAAACCATAACTGGAAATGTGATAACTATAGTGAATTGCAAGAGAATAAATATGAAAATGTAACAGAGAACATCAAAATCATAAAAGTTGGGAGAAGGGAGAAAGAAAATATAGACTTTTTTCCATTTTTCTTTTCTTTTTCATTCTTTTTAGGATGTGTTTGAGCCTACATGACTATCAGTCTAAAGGAAACAGATATAGTAAGTGCAAAACATACCTGAAAAACAGGGTAATCACAAATCAAATGCATACAGTACAGCCACAAAAATCAAAAAGAAACCAAAATAATACAAAAGAAACTTATCAAACCACAAAAAGAAAAACAAAAAGGAACAAAGAATAGCAAATTAACTGAAAAACAAAGTTCAAAATGGCAATAAACACACATCTATCAATAACTACTATAAATGTCAATGGACTAAATGTTCCTATCAAAAGATAGTGTGGCAGACTGGATAATAAAACAAAAGCCTCCAAAATCCTGCCTACAAGAGACTCATGTTAAAGTGAAAGATAAACATATATTGAAAGTGAGAGGTAGGAAAAATAAGTATTTCATGCAAGTGAAAATGAAAAGAAAGTATGAGTAACAATACTCATACCAGACAAAATAGATGTTAAAACAAAGTTCATAAAGAGAGATAAAGAGGGACACTACATAATGATAAAAGGAGCAATACAAAATGAAGATATTATACTCATGAACATATATGCACCCAATATAGGAGCACCTAAATATATAAAACAAATACTAACAGATAGAAAGGGATAAATTGATGGGGATACAACGAGAGTAGGATAATTTAAAACCCCACTAATGTCATTGGACAGGTCTTCCATACAGCAAATCAATAAGGCATTGGAGATACTAAGTGACACAATAGAACAGTTGGACTTGGATAATATTTTTAGGATATTACAACCCCAAATAACAGAATATACATTCTTTTCAAGTGCTCATGGAACATCCTTTACAATAGACCATATACTCAGGCAAAAAAGAAGCCTCAACAAATTTAAGAGGATAGAAATTATCCCATGCATCTTCTCTGACCACAATGGAATGAAACTAGAAATCAACCACAGGAAAAAAAAAACAAAAACAAACTAATGTGAAAAAAAAAAAATGACAGCATGGAGACTAAGCAACATGCTAATAAAAACCAATGGGTCAATGATGAAATCAAAGAATAAAAAATACCTTGAGACAAATGAAAATCAAAACACAACCACACAAAATCTATGGGATGCAGGAAAAACAGTCCTAAGAGGGAAGTTCATACGAATACAGGCCTTCCTCAAAAAACAAGAATAATCTCAAATAAACAACGAACCTATCACCTACAAGAAATAGAAAAAGAAGAACAAACAAAACCGAAAGTTGATTTCCAGTCAAGGTGACAGAGTAGTAGGACTAAGAACTTGCCTCTCCTCAGAACTACAACAAAACCACAACAAAACCACAATCGACTGCTGAACAACCATTGAGAAAAAAGACTGGAGCCTAGCAAAAAAGATCTACTTCAACTGGAAACATAGAGAGGGAACTGCAGCAGGAAGGTAGGAGAGGGCACACTCACAATATAATTGGGCCCATACCCTCTGGGTGGGCAACGCACAAACTGAAGAACAATTAAGTCACAGAGGTGCTCCAATGGGAATGAGACCCCTGAGCCCCACATCAGGCTCCCCAGCCCAGTGTTCCAGCAGTGGGAGGAAGAGATCCCAGGACCCATGCACCAGGTCCAAGGGCAGAGAAAGTGACTGCCTAGGAACCTGGGCCAGACCAGTTCTGCTGGTTTTGGAAGTTCTCCTGGGGAGTTATGGACTGCTGCAGCTCATACACCAGACATAAAAGCTGATGGTGGACATTCTGGGAGTGTTCATCTACATGAGCTTTCCTGGAGGCTGACATCTTGATTGGATCAATAACACCAAGACCCAGCCCCACCAAACAGCCTAAGGCTTAAGGGCTGGGAAACCTCAGGCCACACAACATACTGGGTAGAATCACAGCCTTACCCATCAGCAGACTTTCTGAGTTGCAAACACCCCTACACAGGGCATTACCCACCAGAGGTCAAGGCCAAGCTTCACCCAGCAGTGGGCAGACACCAACCCCTCCTGCCAGGAAATCTACATAAGCTTCTAGCCCAGCTTCATCTACCAGGGGAAATATACCAGAAATAAAAAAGCAACAATCCCAAAGCCTGTGGAAGGAATCCACAAACACAAGCCAGACTCTACACTGGGACCAGATCAACCCTGGCACTCAAGTGACAAGAGAGGAGTGTACTGATGGGATGTGTAGGATGTCTCCCACAGAGGGCCACTTCTCCAAGTTGGGAATCATAACTAACTTATCTAAAAATACAAAGAGGAAAAGAGACAAGATGAGGCAGCATAGGAATATTGGGGTCCATGTATTTTTTTGATTGATGGCCTTTCTGGAAATTAAGCCCTTGACAGCCTCATTTTTGCAAATATTTTCTCCCATTCTGTAGGTTGTCTTTTTGTTTTGTTTATGGTTTCCTTTGATGTGCAAAAGCTTATAAGTTTAATAGGACCCATTTGATTATTTTGCTTTAGTTTCTATTGCTTGGGTTGATTGCCTTAGGAGACTATTACTAGATTTATACATCAGTTCTTTTTGAATGAAGAAAGCAATATTAAAAAAGGAAAAAAAAAGAACAAGTCATCAACTTCCCCCAGACTTCAGACACTACTTCAGAGCTACAGTGATCAAAAGACCAAGATATTGGAATAAAAATGGACATATGGATCAACAGAACAGAATAAAGAGCCCTGAAATAAACCCATACAACTATGGTAAATTAATCTTTGATAAAGGAGGCAAGAATAGACAATGGAGAAAAGACAGTCTCTTCAGCAAAAGGTGTTGGGAAAACTGGGCAGCAGCGTGTAAATAAATGAAGTTGAAACACTCTTTCACACCATATGCAAAAATAAACTCAAAATGGCTTGAAGACTTAAATATAAGGCAAGGCACAATAAACCTCCCTGAAGAAAAAAGGGAAAACATTCTCTGACATACATCTTAACAATATTCTACTAGGGCACTCTATCCAGGCAATAGAAATAAAAACAAAAATTAACAAATGGGACCTAATTAAACTTATAAGCTTTTGCACAGCAAAGGAAACCATAAACAAAATAAAAGGACAACCTACAGAATGGGAGAAAATTTTTGCAAGTGATGAAACCGACTAAGGCTTGATCTCCAGAATATATAAGCAGCTCATATGACGTTAAACAGCAGCAACAACAACAACAACCCAATCCAAAAATGGGCAAAAGATCTAAAAAAGCAATTCTCCAAGGAAGACATAGAAATGATCAATAGGCACATGAAAAATGCTCAATATCACTAATTATTAGAGAAATACAAATCAGAACTATAATGCGGTATCACCGCACACCAGTCAGAATGGCCATCATTCAAAAGTCCACAACTGACAAATGCTGGAGAGGATGTGGAGAAAATAAAACCCTCCTACACTGGTGCTGGGAATGCAGTTTGGTGCAGCCACTGTGGAAAATAGTATGGAGATTCCTCAAAAGATTAGGAATAGACTTACCTTATGACCCAGAAATCCTGCTCCTGGGCATATATCCAGAAGGAACCCTACTTCAAAATGACACCTGCACCCCAATGTTCATAGCAGCACTATTTACAATAGCCAAGATATGGAACAGCCTAAATGTCCATCAACGGATCACTGGATAAAGAAGAAGTGATATAT